CAACAAAATTTACTAACATTTTGGGTCCCACAGCTGTCGAATAACCAAGATCAGTGAAAGCCAGGTGTCTGAGAAAGAAGTACATGGGTGTTTGCAGCCCGGCATCCATCTTGGTGAGGATGATCATGCCCAAGTTGCCCAGCAGTGAGAACATGTAGATGGTGAGGAAGAGCCCAAATAACGGCGCCTGGAGCTCAGGGCGGTCGGTGATTCCCATGAGAATGAACTCGGTCAGCATTGATAGATTGTGCTTTTCCATCCAACTTTATCAGCAAATCAATCTATTCTGAACAGAAGGATAGTAGAGTCAATAGGTTTCTACTAGTAAGATCTGGAGAAATCTCGAGTTTTTTTTTCTTTTTGTATATAAAGCTGGTATAACTAAAACAAAGTAAATTAAAATTATTTAAATTTCCTTAAAATGTTATATCCCCTGAAAACATAACATATGTATCTAGAAATATAAACAGCAATGAAATGGGAGGCATAAATTTGTGGTTTCTTCCCAAGAAATTTTTGTTAATTTTTAAATTATGTTTTGAATATTGTGACGACTGAGGGAGGTGTGATAATAACAACTCATTAGCATTGGCGAGGTTGCTAGTGCTTTATATATCAGGGTGGCCTCCACTGACATACAGAGGGATTATACAGTCAAAAATGCCAAAGGACCAAGTTTGGCAGAAAAAGATTATACATGTATGCATCGTGTATGTATGTGTTTTGTGTGCATGTATATGTGTGGATGTAGCTATTACAGATAGAGATACATGGATTGGGTTATGGATAAGATATAGGTATTGACAAATGTAGATGTAGGAATCAGAAATTAAAAAATAATTGTACAGAATTCATGTGTTAGGTTTATAGGTGATTATTAAATTTTTCCTTTCTGTACGATGACAATTTCATCATTACAATTACAAAATTACTGTCACATAGTATGTTATGATGCAGCTGTTACTATATCATTGAATAATCCAAATTCCAATTATATGCGGAAGATTTAGTAACCCCCTACTTTAAAACATGTTCATGTGAATACACCTATGTCCACAGGTGAAACAGGATGAAACAACACCTTTGAAGAAATAGGACAGAGGTGTGAAAATGAAAAATTCTTGTAGATTGTACTTGTTATCATTTGTCTTGCTACAGGGAATCTCCCCCATATTTTGGCATATACACAATCATAATTTGTAGGCAAATGTAGCTATCCTAATCTCCTTATACAAATAAGCAAAACTCAACTATTTATTTATTTATTTAAAGATGTATTTATTTATTCATACAGAACTGGTGTACAGGCCAGAGATGTGGAGGGTGAGAGGCTTCACCAGAGACAGAGTGGGGAGCAGAACAGGCAGATGGACAAAGTACACTGCTGAGGGGAGCAGCGGGCGGGTCAGGAGAGGTCTGCCGCACCATGTGGGTCACCTCTGGGGCAGACGGGGGTTGCGGAAGTGGCTTTAGCTTCTTAGTGCTCTGTTTTAACCCGCTGCACCACCAGGGAGGGCCCTCAACTATTTTTTATAATACTGTCCTAAAGATGAGTGAGAATTAATGTCTTAATGTGTTTATGGTTTCTGGAAGTCTTTATTTGTGTTGAAATTCTGAAGTGTAGACCTTGTTACCTGAAATGGCCTCTTGCTATGTACTCACATTCTTATTATGTGACCTAATATCTTTATCCAGAGAGTGGTAAAGACTAAGTGACAAGTGATATTATCCAGACAACTGCCCCAGGTCACCCCTACCGTGCCCAACTCTAATACTACAGCTCAGCCATCAAGTGCTCTTCTTTGTTTAATTTATCTTCTATATTAGTTAAAATATTTGATATGTATCTACTTAAGATTGAACATATTTTCTTACCCCCAGGTGCATTTTGATATAACTGGCATAAATTAATATTTGTAACACATAAGTATGTATTATCATGAAAAAGAACTTGGGTAATATAAAAAAGATTGAGAAAAATAGGAGAAAGTATGGTCGCTCCAATTGGTTTCATATGATGAAATTGCATCTAAGTTCTCTTTAGATATATTCTACACTTAATGAAAACACAGCTTTTAAATCATTACATGTAAGCATACTGACAAGACAAAACATGTAGACAATATCACATCTGAAGTTGTTAGTTGTGATAAATATGTGATGCACATTTATATATATTCTGGAGTGTTGTTTCAAGTCTGTTTGTACTTTCAACACACAAGTAATTGTACTACCTGATAGTATAACCTTTAATGTGGACATATGTTACTATAAGGCTGTGTATAATATTACCAGTAAATCACCAATTGTAAGAAATACCGAAGTAGAACGAGGATGAGCAAGCAAAGTAAATGACTTACTGGTCTCAAGATGGCATTAACATTTCTTTTAAGAAAAGAAAGAAAGAACTTAAAGAAAATAGCACAGGTGTCAGGAAAATTGAGCTCTAAGACAGCAAACAGAAAATACATTTATAACATTACGTTATAAACATGTTTAGAAGAAATTCACATTCATCTCACATAAACCTTCTTTAAATGGTCAGACTCACGTGTGAGTGAAAGGTGGACCGTGAAGACCCCTTGCTCAGAGCTCACCTCTAACAAGCAAGTCTCTGTACTCCCCATGACCTCCCAGCAAAAGCCAGTAAGAATTTATGTGTTTCTTTCATCCCTTGAGACCCTCCCTGGGGAGCAAGGAGGCAGTTTGTTAATGATGCCTAAAGCACTTGAAAACTTCCAAACTAAGCCACTGGGAGAGCTGGGAGAGCTGAGAATTACAAAGGGCATCCTTATATTCTCAGAAATAAAGTTAAGTTACATACCTTTCCACAATTTCTTTCTGTTAGGTATTTTCTATTGCATCCACGAGATCTGGATCAAATTATTGTATCTGAGGACAGGCATTTTAGTCAATGTAGATTGGCTTAATCTTGAATGTGTTTTGATTTGGGTATCTTAGCCCCAGAATTGTTAAGACATAAGATTCAGCATCAGTACTTCCAAGGGATATATAGGGTGGTTATATCAAAGTTAATTCCCACCAGCAGAGAGCACTATTCAATGTCCGTGCCACAATTTAATGTTTTTCATTGTTTTCTTTCATTTGTTTATTGAGGTGACATTGTTTCATTGTACTATGTGATTCAGAGTCTTAGGGTTACACCTCCTCAGCATCTTTATTTGCTTTTCAGTCATTCTGGATGATGTGATTGTAGTTTTTATTTGCATTACCCTAATCCTGAATGAATTAAGAATCTTTTAACATATGCTTAATAGTTACTTGGGTATTTTCTTTGCAAAATGTCCATTCCTATCTTTCCTTCTCTTTATATTGTATGTCATGATAATTACTTGTCATAAGTAACAATTCATGACCTTGGCACAGCATTTATTTCTCCCAATCAATGTACAGGGGATAGTGCTCCATTTTTATAGTTTCTAGCAATGAAGTCACACAAGTTGCTCATGCATATTAGTGAAGTCTTGCAAATAAAATTTTTACCTAAGTGTCTTACATATTTTATTAGTATAGTTGATTCTTTAAAATTTTATTTCCACCTTTTATTTTGGCTAACATGTAGTCAAAAAACTGCTCTTTTGCATGCTGACATTATATCTGCCAATTTTGCAACATTCATTGCTTATTTGCAACATTCAATACTTAAACTTATAATTTAAAAAAACACAATTAAAATACTTAAAGATTACCATGCTTTTACTTTTGCTTCCCTGGGCATCATATGTTTACACATCATGATTTAAGAGAAAACTGATCTATCAACCACAAGGGAGATGATGTGTAATTATTTTTAAATGGGTTAGTTATGGCTGTGTACATGCCTCGTGCAAGGAACTAGCTTTTATCTTCTGTATGTCATATCACTATGCCATGGGCATTGTTATTAAATGGTGTGCAAGCTAGAAATGATATAATTTTATATTTAAAAAGCACAAGAATATGTTTTAGAAAGATTGGGAGATATCTTACAAACAACAAGATGGAAGATACATTAAAAAAGACTTCCCTTCAGGAGGGAAATGCACGGGACTATGGTGGTGGCACAGGGGTGATTTGGTGATGGGAAACCCGTGGGGATTACAATTGAGATGAAAAAAAAATGTGCAAAATAATGTAAAAATAAAATTTTTAATAATAAAAAAAAAGTAAAAAAAAAAAAAAAGACTTCCCTTCAGTTGTAAACAAAGACTTGGCAATGTGAGAACTCTGATGCATACGTCAGCTTCTTTCATTGAAACTTGAAAACAACTCAAATTTGATGACAGAAGATCACTTCTTGAGTATCTATAGATTGAAAACAAGAAACATTTCTAGCTTACTCTGCCTATTGCACTTGATTGTTTCTTGTAAAGATTTACCACATAGCATAAATGATTGTTTGTAATCTGTTTACTGTATATCATTTTTTTTTTAAAGATTTATTTATCTGTGCATACGGAACTTGGGTACAGGCCAGAGGTGCAGGGGCAGCGAGAGGTTTCACCAGAGACAGAGTGGGGAGCAGAACAGGCAGATAAACGAAGTACACTGTTGAGGGGAGCAGCAGGCAGGTCAGGAGAGGTCTGCTGCACCAGTTGATCACCTCAGGGGTAGGTGGGGATTGACCTCATGTGGAAGTGGCTTTAGCTTCTTAGTGCTGTGCTTTAACTAGTTGCACCAGCAGGGAGGACCCTAGAATTCTTTTTAGAAAAGATTTATTTATGCATACAAGAGCTGGGGTACAGGTCAGAGATGTGGGCTGGGAGTGGTGAGAGGATTTGCCAGAGACAGAGTGGGGAGCAGAACAGGCAGATCGACTGAAACACACTGCTGAGGGGAATAGCAGGTGAGACAGGAGAGGTCTGTTGTACGCCATGGGGGTCACCTCCTCAACTGGGGATTGAATTCATGCTGCAGTGGCTTCAGACAGCTTCACAGTGCTGAGACAGCCTCTTTCACCACCAGGGAGGCTCCTATTGTATATAAATCTACACTGAACTCTATGTAGGGGAGTTGCACAGAGCTCCCCCAATTCTCTGCAGGGCACCTTTTTCTTCTTTGTTCCTTAAACTGTAGATCAGGGTATTCAGCATGGGGATTATCAAAGTATAAAACACAGAGGCCATTTTATCATTTTCAAAGGAGTGGCTGGACTTGGGTTGCAAATACACAAAGAATAGCGTCCCAGATAGTATAACTACCACAGTCACATGAGAGCCACAGGTGGAGACTGCCTTGCACCTGCCTTCCACAGATTTTATGGTGAGGATGGCCTTGAGGATCAGTATGTAGGACACAAGGACTATAAGAAGAGATGAAACCAAATTAAATGCTGAAAAGATCAGTATCATCAACTCCATATCATGGGTGCCTGAGCACACCAAAGTTAACAAAGGAAGACAGTCAACAGTAGAAATGACTAGTGACATTATGGCCACAGAAGGATGAAATAAAAATCTTTATGGTGGTGATCAGAGGCAGAAAGGCACTGTAGACGGAGGAGACCATCACCAACACCCAGCCTACTTTTGGGGACATGACTACTGTGTACAGAGGAGGTGATGGGGTAGTGGGGACAGCAGATGGGTTTGTTGGGAGGAAAGAAGTGATCACAAGCCAAAGGTTGTAGTTTAGCGCTTGGAAGAGGCATGGAAACAGGTTCTCCCCTAGAGGTTCTGGAATGTATGCAAACGGTTGGCAAGCTCATGTTAGCCCAGAAAGACCCATTGTGAACCTCTGACCTTCAAAATTTCAAGATTAAAAAATAACAAAACAAAAAACTCTGGGCTCTTCAAAATCTCTGCTTGGGGCATTAGTTACAGTGCAGTAGAAAATTAATACAACTGACAATATAATTACTTTTTAATGAATACAAACTTGTAAACCAAATGTAAAGTGGAAAACCCTTTAGTAAAGTACATTTTTTAAATCTTGAAATACATTTATTTTCAAATTATTGTCCATTGCTTATAAATGTATTTCCCATAGCCAATTAGCACATTTTCTCCTACAGGAAAATTTGGAAATTTAAGGTTGGGATCGAAAAGATTCAGATTTTTCCCATTGAAATGGATAGAACTTTAGCTATTATGTCTTCACTTAACAGTAAGCTTTTCAGGAACAGAAAGAAATTATTAAATGAAAAGAGTTACGTTTTAAATTTACGATTGACACGGGCCCTTCAGGAATCTTTTCAAAGCATCCTTCACATCCTTATTCCTGAGGCTGTAAATGAGGGGGTTCAGCATTGGTATAACCAGGGTGTAGAAGACCGAGTACATTTTATCAGTATCTAAGGAGTGATTGGTCCGTGGTTGCAAATACATGAAGAGAAGCGTCCCATAGAACACAGTGACCGCCACCATGTGAGACGCACAGGTAGAAAAAGCTTTGCGTCGCCCCTCCGAGGAACGTATCCTCAAAATGGCGAGCACAATATTAAAGTAGGATATCAGAACAATGATCATGGAGAAAAACAAATTGGTCCCCGAGAAGGTGAACACTGCTGTTTCTGGAATGTAGGTGTCCGAACAGGACAAAGCTAACAAGGGGACATCGTCACAATAGAAATGGTTGATGACGTTGGAAGAGCAGTAGGACACTGAGAACACACAGGAAGTCACAGTCAGCGCTGTGGTCAGACTGTAGAGGTAGGTGAGGGACACCAGCAGAAGGCAGATCTGTGGAGACACCACCACCGTGTAGAGCAGGGGGTTGCAAATGGCCACGTAGCGGTCATAGGCCATGGCCGCCAACATGAAAATCTCAGCCACGATGAAAACTAAGAAGCCACCCAGTTGGGCTGCGCATCCGTAGTAAGAGATGGTTTTCTTCATGACTAAGAAGTTAACCAACATTTTAGGAGCAATGACAGTCGAGTTGCCAAGATTGATGATAGCCAAATGGCGAAGGAAGAAGTACATGGGGGTCTGGAGTTGAGAGTCCACACTGGTGAGGGTGATGATGCCCACGTTTCCTGTCACCGTCAGCCCATAGATGACCAGGAAGACAAAGAAGAGTGGGATCTGGAGGTCTGGACGATCTGAGACGCCCAGGAGAATGAACTCTGTCACCCTGGTGAGATTCCCTGAGGCCATTTACTTCATTGCTTTCATCTTTTAACAGGGAAAAATGAAAAGACATTAATAAATGGTGAAATCGTTTTTTCTGTAGCTCCTAGATTCTGTGAATGTTTCACTTGAACTCTGGCTTTTTTGTTTATGATACTTCAAAGGTTTAGATATTAGATTTTATTCACCATCTTTTCACAAAATTCAAAATTATATACTTTTCAGACATAACTTTCAGATTCTTAGAACTAGAGCTATTAATCTCTTGCTGTTGAATGCAGTTTATATTAGACACATACATTACTACATTACTGTATGTAGTTTATATGCAGAAATCAATTGTTAGTGTGATAGTGCATGAAAACACAATATATGTTTTATATGTGTATACATTCATGTTTACACATGCATATATACATAAATGTGTATATATGTATGTGTGTGTGTTGTGTTTTCCAAAGATAAAGGAGAGTTTTATATAAAAAGTTGATGGGCCAAAGTGACCTCCAGTTATCTTTTCTTTAGCTGGTTCTCTCTCCTTGTACCACTTCTGGGAATTCAGTATTACAGCACTTTCAGTACCCTGAATTTTTCTTCATCAATTTTACTAGAGCTCTTGGCATCAGTTATCAATCAAGACACCTACCCTCAATATTGCATTTTCTTTGTATCACTCAGAAACTAAATTCTCTTGATCACATTTCCTTTCTTCTACCAAGTAACTCATTCTACCTTACTGAAGGCTTTTATAGCTGAAGTAGACATAGTCAGTGAGTTACCATTCTACATATTCAGACAACTGGAGCACATGATATCTAGTGTGTACTTAACAAATTAAATTGTGATCCATTGTGTGTGCTTGCTTTAATTTAAAGATACTTCCCTGCATACATAAAATATATGTCTGGCACCAGCCACCCATATTTCTTGTCTCCTCCCAATGCATCTATAAGGAACTATACAGATAAGTTTGTGATGGAGATCATGTGGCATCTTTGTCCTTGATTAAACTATTTCATGTTTGTTGGCTATACATAAAAGCAATTCAATGAAGTTTCACTCTGAGATATAGTATTTAATAAGAACAGTTTAATTAGAACAAAATAGTATCAACAATAGTAATCATTGTCTGCTGTGAACTTGTGGAATTAGTTTTTAAAAATTATTTACATGTATCTTTACTTATTAATTTCCTCTTCTATTAAAATGGGATTGATGGTAATACTTGGTTTTATTTTGGTAAGTGTATGTGATTTAAATAAAATTTCCATGGAATAGCTTACTATTGTCTTTTTCTTAAGGTCTTATTTGATTTAACATTTACTCCTGAAAAACCTCTTTTAATTGTGTAAACATAGATATTAAAATTTGATCTTTGAAAATAAATAAATTTTGAGAATAGCTCAAAATGATAGCTTCTTAATAAAATGAAATGAAAAAAACACCCAATGTTAATCAGTTTATCTTTAACAATTGGATGACATATTGCATTGCAATTAAATTTTCAATATTTTCTGATGCAATTTTAAGAGTAAGTTCCATAGGTCTCACACTGTCAAGTTTGTCTAAAATTAATCACGAGTTGTATTAGGAACAAACACCACATGTTGTTAGGTGCTCATGTGTTTGCTCGCAGCAATGGGTGACAGCAAGGAGTCTCTCTACCTGGAGTTTAACACCTTGTGTGATGCAAAATCAGGAATAGGAGAAAAACTTTCTCTTATTGATCTTAGGAAAACTTTGTGAATTTTTCTTGGAGATCTGGAATTTTATATTTCAAAGACATTTGACAAGATTGCTACCTGCTCGTACAGCACCTTCTAAAACATTCATCAATTTTATGAGTTCTGTGAGAGAGAACATTTCTCATTATGTTAAGATGTATTCCCTGTAATGACTATTCATTGTCCTGGATAATTGCTCATGCAGGCTAATTTATCAGGAGGGATGCTGACTACTATTGTTTAAGTTGTTATCAACATCACTTTCATTTAGCAATCAGTAGGCAGAGATATGAGTAACTTGGAAAGACTATTTCAGTTCTGAGTCTGAGTTGAATGAGATAAATCTTCCAAGATACTTGTTCTCACATCAGGAATTAGATTTAACCTACCTGTGCTCGGTGATCTGCTGAGACCCTCTCCTAGGGTGGTTGCCCGTAGTATGCTAAAGAGTTTTTAGTGTGTCTGATGTCCCTGAAGATCTTCTCTCAGACACACTTGTTTTGGCCCGAGTTCCCAAACACGAGATCCAGAATTCCCACATATAGGTCTGATTCCCCAGGGGCAGGAAGTCCAAATAATGCTCATTAGTCAAGTCTCCTTGCAAGATTTTACCCAAAGAAATTGTGCATATAGCCTAGGGACGGTACGATGTGATCTTAGAGAATAACAACACCTGCAACAATCCATTCTTCCCCATTGGCTTGAATTCTACCCTATGTTAATGGGATGTTGCCCCTTTTTATGGGATGGAGAAATTCTGATCCCAAGGTTGAATTTTTTTTTGTTTGTTCTAGAGTTTATTTCCCCCTCTATCTCATCTACCTCCCATCAACAACAGCTGCTATTTTTCCTCTTTTTTTTTTCCCTCATGACCATACCTTATAGCCCTTTGACTCTCTCCCTCCTCTGTAATAGCTGCAGAAGCCTCACTTTCTTTACTAGAGACTGCTAATTTTATAAGCTCTTTGCTTTGCTACAACATCTACTGTGTGAATGTCCAATGTTTGTCTTTGTCATTGTGACTTGATTCACTACACATAGTTCACCTCAACTCTTTCCATTTTGCTGTAAATTGCAACATTTCATCTTTCTTGATGATTGAAAAATATTCCACTGTGTGACTATATCTCTTCTTAATTCAAACCTCTATCATTGGGCACTTAGATTGCTTCAATATTTTAGCTGTTGTAAATAAAGCTGCAATAACTATTGATCTTGAAGAGATACCTGTCACCCATTATTACTGCAGCATTTTTCACAATTGTCAAGATAGGGGAACAACTTAAGTGTCTACAAATGTGGAAATTAATAAAATGTTGCATATACTTACAGTGGAATATTATTTAACTTCAATAAAGAAAGAAATCCTGCCATATTAAAAAATATGGACGGGTCTAGAAGATGTTGCTAAGAAAATAAATCAGGGAAATAATGGATACTGTTTGACCTCACTTCAATGAGTTGTGGGGAATAGTTAAGCTCCTTCTCCTCGGAGCAGAGAGCAAGGATGATTTCCAGAGACTGGAGGAAGGGGGGGGGGATGGGAGATGATAGTCATTGTGTACAAGTTTTAGTAATCAAAGTTAAATGATTCTGGAGTACTATCATGCAATACAGGGCTGATTGCTAATGATAGTGTATTGTACAATTAAATTTGTTAAGAGGGTAGATCTGAAGTTAAATGATTTTATTACTAAGATGATAATAAAAGAGTGTAAGAAATCAGAAAAAAAATAAAGCGATTGTAAGAAAGTGAAAATGAAAAGTAATGAACATCTATAAAGCAGAGACATTCAGCTGGGGTGGAGAGGGGAACAGGATCAGAACTGGGGTGGGCAGAGCACATGGGTGGGTGATGCGCACGGGTGAAGTGGTGGTGGGAAGCCCATGGGGATTACAACTGAGATGAAAACATGTACAAAATGAAGAGTGATGCAAACAAATAAAAAAAAGAGGACGAAAGAAAGTTTGGGGATGGTATTAAATTTGTAAGTTTAATAGTGGTCATTGTTCGTGGGTTTATACTTATCCCCAAACTTTTCTAGTTGTGTTCATGAAATATGACCATTTTAGATATCAGCTTTACCTCCATAAACTGATTACATACACCCACCCACCCACCCACCCACCCACACACACACACACACATTTTAACATTAGAGAACGTACTCATATACCATATCTTTGACACTGGGTTAGCATTTAACTTGTCTGACCCAGGTTTTCTCTCTTGGCAATATATTTAATTTATCCTGCCAAATGACAATGCATATGGTTTAAACTATAAAGGTAAAATTGCCCTATATTCCCAAAGGGACACATTACATGGATTTATAGTCATCCAAATTCATTATGCTGTTACTCTGTGCAAACTATAAAGGGCCATATTTGAAGTAAAAAGAATATAAACTTGGAACTTCTTAAAACTGTTGCTTAAGAGATACACTTAAGTATGAAGTACCATAGCTATGTGAATTCAGAGATGGAAAATATCTAAAGCTCTGTAAGACTTCAGAAGTAATGAGATTTTTGTGATTCAGATAATAATAGCCATATCTATCTATCTACCTATCTACCTATCTACCTATCTATCTATCTATCTATCTATCTATCTATCTATCTATCTATCTATCTATCTATCTATCTATCTATCTATCTATCTATCTA